AAAGTACTGCCATGCTCGAAGGTACTTTGCCCTATCGAAGCGCGCGAACTACCTGCTGAATTTTGTCCTAGGCGAAAAGTACCAACAAAGAGGAACTGGAAATACTACAAGAATGATGACGCTTCACTGTGCAGACATCTGGTGGATCATCACAAGGGCAACTCACATCACCAGAACGGAAACTGCAGAGCTTGAGGATGAACGCACTAGATTACGGTCCAAAATGTTTTTTCTGGTTCAATATCACTCTCGCTTCTTCATAAACCTTCCTTTCCATCTTCTCTCTTCTTTCGTATGATAGTGTTCGCTGCTTACAATTCATCATCATCATGCAACTTTTCTCCTCCCTCGCTGTCTTTGCCGGTCTCGCTCTGGCCCAGAATGCGGCGATCGGACTACCTTACCCCAACCAGACAGTCGTTTCTGGCAGCGATATCGTCGTTCAGATCCAGCGACCCGTATGTCAACCTCCCGTTCTTCTGGCTCAATATCATTATCTAACTGCATTCAGAATTCCCTGACTGGCTCGACAGAGATGGCTGTCGCTATTGGTCTTGTCTCTTGCCTCCATCGAATCTGTCAGCCTGCCAGCAACATCATGGGCTCCATCGTTTACAACGGGCTGTTTGACCCTGTGTACCACGAGACCTACTTGCCACCTTACCAGAACTTCACGGTCACAGTCCCCTTCGCTTTTGCGGCAGGTCAGGCCCAGATCAACGTGGCTCATGCCACACTCATTGGGGTGAGTCACAATTGATCACCATTGTCGGTTGGTATTGTGCTGACCTTTGTGACAGGCTGGCCCGTATCCTGATCTGGAAACTCTCAATCAGACTATAATCATTTCCTAAAAGAATGTCCATTCTCCTCCACAAATCTTTTGTTAGCTGACTGGCGTCGGTATATCCTGTCAAGCTCTCCATTTTGTGATATTCATCGATTTCAAGTTCAGGAGTCGAACTTATTCGGTTCGGCGGTAGTCGATAGTTTTGTTGACTTAGATGTTGATGTCTGATCCAGAAAATGGATAGCCCGAGCCAAAAATATATACATTTATTTATATACGTATGTGCTCTCTGTTTTACACAGCACCTCCATAGACTATAAAGCTGGCATCAATGACGCCACCGTGGTCTGGGCTGCAGAATTGTTTCGTCGTGGAGTCGATGGGTGAAATGGCATGAGCGGGTCCGTGATGAAGGGGCAGTGGATAAAATATTCTCGCGCACAGGCCCACGCCAAGAGGCCATGCCGCGCGCTAAACCGAACATCCATTACCACTTGGGCTCCTTCATGAAACGCAACAACCGAATCTCCTAGTCGATGGGTGCATTTTGACAGCGACAATGATCTCCTTGTATTGGTCAGGTCGACACCATGAAACGTGAAGCACCGTCTGAGTTACATGGCTGCAACAGTGATGGTGACGTGCGACCAGCAAAAGCGCGCCGACGAGAAAGCCCCAGCACGAATCCAGAGCTTTGGAAGAAAGAGCACGAGCACAGCAAAGCGCAGCAATCCCTTTCTCCCTTCTCTCCTGACTGTGATAGTAGAGTATGTGTAGACCCTCAACTTGCGATACTCATCACACTGACTGCCCAGCAACCTGATCCTCGCGAACACCGAACTACCACTCCCGCGTCCCTCGCAAATACCACCGACGAATACACGGATACGATATACCAGTGGATTCCTGCGCCATCGGAGGTGGATCCATTTGAAGTGATGAGCCAACCCCCATCAAAACGATCCCGGTCGCGTTCGATCTCCACGGATCGGGGGCGTGCGCGGTCGGTCTCGTCAGACAACAGTGAGAGCAGCTCGGCTCGGGACACCAGGTCATATGCGTACCGAGCCGTCAACTATGTCACCATCTTAGAGACCAAAGGATGCTTCATGCGACAGTCCCCCGGCGGCCCGATGCCCGAAGATATTGCACTCTGTGAGCGTCTCCTCAGTCAACCTATCGAACCTCCGATCGGCACAATGCTCGAAGACGAGTATATCACAGATTTTCATATTGCGTTGCAGAATCGATCTGAAGCGCGTCTCTTGGTGGACCTCCACCCTCTGATTATGCCCTCTGCGGAGAACCAATACATTCAGGGGAACGAATCTCTGAAGGATGTGATAGACGGGTACAATGATCCTTGGCTGAAAACCGAGCCGATTTATGGGCCCAAACCGCAGCCCGATCACGCGCGAGGCTTGAGATGGTCGACCTTTTCCGAGACTCAGCGGCGCAAACTCGGGATCAAGCCTGACGAGAAGTCACCGTACACAGTACGAGAAGACATGTACTTTCCGTATCTGACCGCAGAAATCAAATGTGGGAATCAGGCGCTGGAACTTGCCGATCGGCAGAACATGCATAGCATGTGTATTGCTCTGCGAGCCGTGGTTTCTTTGTGCCAAGCCGCAGGCTGCACGGAAGAGGTGCATCGGCGGATTTTGGGCTTTTCAATATCGCATGAGCTCGAAGGCTTTCGAATTTACGGTTACTATCCTGAGATTGATGATGGCAAGGTGTCATTCTATCGCTGGCCTGTTGCGCAACCCAACATCTGGGTCAAAGAAAATCGATGGACATGTTATCAGTTTGTAGAGAACTTGGACCGTGAATTCCTACCGATTCATACCCATCGATTGATGCGGATACTCGAGAAAATCTCAGACCCAAACGAGGATGTGTCTGGTAACGATGTCGACGAGCTTGACTCTCAGGTGTCTATGGTGGGATTGCAGGAACGCCCGGGCTATCGCCGAGCAGCCTCTTTGCAGAATCGCGGTCTACAACCAGAGCTACGTATGATGGTGCAAACATTACAACAGCAGCTGGCAGATCAGAAGGAACGAGAAGAGAAGCGGGTGGCGGAACAGAAGGAGAGAGAAGAGAAGCTCCTCGTTCAATTGGAACAGCAGAGGCTACGGGAAGAAAGGCGAGAGGCGGAACAGAAGGAGAGAGAAGAGAAGCTCCTCGTTCAATTGGAACAGCAGAGGCTACGGGAAGAGAAGCGAGAGGCGGAACAGAAGGAACTGCAAGGCAAGCTTTTTGCTCTTTTAGAACAGAGAGAGAACTCGAAATAGTTATTTGAGCTGTTTTTTGCGATTACTTTCCGTTTAGGCGTGCTAGTTGAGCCAGTCGGATGTGATATGGCTCGCTGCGTAGATGGTAAATGCTTCCTTTTCTGGTTCGAGGAGCTCTAGATCAATCGAGAACAGTCAAAAACAGTATATCTTCAGCCACAAGAGCCAGATGCCACGGGCGTCTCTTTGTACTGACAGACTGAACTCTGAAATCACTGGTCTCGGGATCCAAAACCGGACGCAGCAAGAAAAAAGGTAGATAAAAGAAAAAGTTACTGCTGTCGTCCCTTCGCTTGAAGTCTCCTCTTGCTACAAGCACACGTGGCCGTGCCAAGAGAAATCACCACAGGAGTCGTGGCAAATCCTGAAGTATACGGTGAATCCAGCGCACTTGCAACTGGGTGGGACGACAGCGAGTACATGTGAGACGAAGGAGTTGATCGGAAATGTGAGGTTTTTGCTGTCCCATGGCAAGCACTGACGCTCTTGCCCTCCCAATGCGCAGCAGATAACACGCCGATCACATTGGGAGCGCACAAGCTAGGGCCATTGGTCCAACCCATAAGGCGATTGGCAATGTCCGAGGCGTAGCAGTGAGTAGCAATTCCCTGACCTAAATTCCCGCTAGAGGCAACCGCGCCGGAAATGTAAGCTCGGGCGGCCTTGTAGAATGAAGCTACATGTGCGGAACCCCCCTCCTGGTCTATCAACGCTTTGAGGCCAGGACCGGCCGAGGTGCCCTCGACGCCATCCATGATCATTTGATGGATCTCGCTCTCAGGACAAGGGTTCTGGATGGCTCCATCCTTGTTGCAGGAACCAGAGCCGTCGTGGCTTTGCATTAGTCCCGGATTGACTACACCATTGTCAGTGGTCTGAACACGAACACACCCTTTGCTCTCTTGCATGACGATCGACAAAATGAAGCGGGCGTCGACGCCACTTGAGTGGGCCACTTGCTGGATGGCATCATGGATGAACTCGGTCTCGCCTTCTGAGTTATTGGGGAGACCCCACTGGGAGCAGCTGACGGAGATGACGCCTTTGTTGTTCTCGAACATAGCTTCAAAAGACTCAACCCACTGGTCAATGCCGGGCCAGCCGTCGGCAACCATACCGTTACCCCCCAGTACCGCAGCATAAAGACCAGTGCTGCGTTTGTGAGGTGGAATCCCGCGGGGTTCCACGAAATTAGATAGAGTCGAAGGAGCATGAGACGCTGCAGCAATCAAACGAAAACACTGAAATGCCATAAAGAGAGACCTCAATGTCATTGTGATACTGAAAAATCGAGTTCTCAGTGGAGAGCGCTGAGCGTTAAGAAAGTCCACTGATGTAAAGTCTGACAACAGTAATGGGGATCTGGGAGGTCAATTCCTTATGGCCAAGCAAAGAAAAGTAAGCCCAGCGAGTAGGTGTATCGAGATGCGAGCCTCTTACTAGAAAATGAAACTTTGCTTTCAACCACCGGAAGACAGGTCTATTGTGAATTGTGATGCCGATCTGTAGCGGAAGCACGAGCATGCATGAAGTGCAGAACCTGCCTCCGATACCTTCATATTTTTACCCGCAGGTCACGAAGCCTATGCGAAGTAAGTCACTTGAGGTGATAAATTCGGTTTCTGAGTCACTTTATTGTGCGGATCATGGTCACACGTCTGGCAGTGTACAAAAAACGTGATGTTGCATCCTCAAATGCGCACTGTGGCCAATGTGTTTCGTTTCTTTTTCATCCCTGAATCTTGATGGCATCTCAACGTTCTAAAAATGATGGGAGGCTCAATCTTCTTTCTGTGTCCACAGAAAATTATGGTGTACAAGATGATTCTCAGCAAGGCCAGAAAAGCATAAATAGCTCCTGCTGGACACGTCAGCCCATCTCAGAGCGATCATTGTTCTGACCTGCCATTATGCCATCCGATGGTGTCACCAAGAAATCTAATTCAAAGTCAGAACATATTGAGAAGCTCCAAAAAACAGTGGAAAAGGCAAAAGAAGGAGCTCTGTCTCGACAGAAATTGGAAAGTGGAGACCAACAAGCAATCGTATCCGATGCGAATCCAAATATGAAGACGAAGTCGTATCCCGACGAAAATCATTCAGACCAGACACAACAGTATGCCCCAGTGGACGACAATTCAACCCCACACCATGACAAGCCCATCCAATCGATAGAGGTTGGGGAGATTGAGATGAAAGATCTTGGTGCAAACCGCAACACCGAATACCAGCCGGAACCCATGCAAAACAACACATTGGACGTACCAAGTAAGCCGAACCTTTCCAGCGTGAGATCATCGCGCGAGCAGAGTGTCGGTAGCCTAGCGAGGGGTTTCAAATGTCTTGCTGTTCTCGATCCGCCCAAGAAAAACAACAAAGATCGCATCACGCACAGTCCAGCTCCAGACCCCGAAGATGTTGTGGATGGATGGGGAACTTGGAGAGGGAAATCGACCTTCGTGATTGTGGTAGAAGGTCCCCCCGAGTCAGCCAGGTTCACATTCAAGCTCCGATCCGGGTACACTAATGAACGCACTGCCAACATCTCCGACAAAGACCTTCGAATTACCGAAATCAGAGACAAGGGTGTTGGTGGAAGAAAGCCTTATCGGTATACGATCGAAAACGTCGCCGGCGTCTTTGGAGCCGTATTCGAAGATACGGGTGTGAGATTCTCCACCCGTAATTCATGCTCATGGGCAAGAGTCGAATGGAAGGGTTTGAGGGAAGAAGACATGATTAAGTGCAAAGTCACAGAGGGGTATTCGTGGATTCCTAAATGCGATTTCCAACGGCTTTGCCATGGGCGGGAGGCAGCCGAGGAAAAGATCAAAGAAGTTTGGGATCATCAGGAGGGGCAATACGTGGCCTGGGCCCGAAAGCAACCTAGAAGCGAAAATCGCTGTCGTTCCACCACACCATGTCCATTGAACGACTCTCTGAGGCGGCTTCAGCTACAGAGAGCCACCTCGCGCTTGAGGACACCTGATATCAGGATTTCTTCTCTAAGTGATGATGGCTGCGGCACCCCTCCACCCAACCAGCGAAATAATGTGACGGGCACCAGATCCAATCCAGTTAGTCGTGACGAGGACACGGAGAGCGTCAATTCTGATGCCTCGTCAGGATCGACAAATACCACTGCTACGTCGAATGGAATAACAGACCGGGATCCATCCAGATCTCAGGGTCAGCTTCCCGTTGTCGAAATCAGCAGGGCAAAATTTATGAAGGAAAAAGGAAGCGAAACATGGAAAGATATGGATCCCTCGGAAAGGCAGAAACAGGAAGTGATAGCCCACGCTCTGTATGACATTTACAAGGCGACGATGCTACAGAACAACGGAATCGTGGTCAAGGACTTGGATATGACCGATAGTACGGAGGAGGAACTTTAATTGCCGATTGGTAACAAGCACGTCCAAATTATGCTCTGGTCGCACTGATCTGTCTCGTTAAAGTATTGAAAAAAAAGGAAGAAAAAAAGAAAAACAAAACAAAAACAAAAGCAAGAACAAAAAACAAAGGAAACAAACAAGCAAAAAAACATTTCGTTAGTCAATTAGGTAGTTGAATTAATAGCAGCAAAGTATTTTTTTCTTGAAACTCCTGTCATGCTCGCTTTGACCGTATTGCATGCAGTCTCCTGTCCCGCAATAGCACGCCCAAATTACTCCGAATTACATGATAGTTAATCTAGACCTTGCAAACATTCAGCTTGTGATTGGTTCCCGTATCAAGCTTGGGAGAGTATTCATCTGCATATCCCAAGAAGTAACCAATGACGATGTAATGTTGCCCTATGGGGCGACTGGCGCACATGGGTACTGTAAGGATCATCCTGTGACATCCAGACATCCAGTTACTGTTGGTATCACCAGCTAGGTACTGTGTACACAGTCAAGTGGACAGCGCGTATGCTTGGAAAGCAAAAGTCAATTGATTCATGTAGATAGATGTGTCCTCCAAGTCAGGTTCAGAATACCCCTCAATCCCATACGCCGAAGCCGCAGCTTGGCGCAAGGTTACGTGCACAGAAATGTGATCTATCAGATGCAAGCTTGTTCTGACAGAAGAGTATATCCCGACAGTTACTGTATCACCTCATTTTGTTTCTGCCAATTTATGAGGGTGTATTTGATGTACCTGATTCGAAAATTCTCAAGACTTTCGTCTACCCTCGTTGATATTGTATTTTGATATGATGCTGGTGCAGATTAAGGGCCAGGCCGAGTCATGGGGGTTTCCTCGGAGTATGTTTACGATGTATGTAGTTGATTATTTCTATTATGTGTATTCAATCTCATGCTTGCTTTCGAATAAATATTGTAAAGTTGATTCCTTTCAATTGCTACATATTCCTGGAAAGAGGCAAGTGGAGTGCAAACACTGCAGGCCTGAGACAAGATCTCGTATGCAGTAGAAATGTTGCCGAGCATCTACCGATCAAATCCTCTACCAGATATTCTTGCCGCTGCTTTGGAGTCTCACGCGTATGTTTAAGATATTGGTGAGTATGACAATGATTGATAAATCAGTCACATCAGGAGGCGTCCGTCGCTTTTCTGCTTTTACACATATTTCGATAAGTAGGCTCCCATTGTTGCGCATAAATGTCTAAGCACTTTTGAGCTGAGTGATGTTTTTTTTATAGCTCGGCGATCAGAGTGTTGACAGCCCTGGCCGTTGGAGTAGCTGTTATATTGACACAGGCTTCCGTTCTATAGCCACTCAAAGCCTCTAGCAGAAGCGACGTCGGGTAATGTCCCCTGATATGTACTCATGTACTCATTTACTGCTATTTAGGATGTGGGGTCTCTTAGTATGGCAGCACTTAATTCGATAGCCTAGCCTCATATTCTGGGTCAAAGCGAAGTGCAAGCCTTCAATTTACAATACAAGCGGCATGTCTTCCGCAGCATTAATTGTAATCCGTCCGGCCTAGCTGATATAAGACCCACCCTGATCTCATTCTGTGTCCAAACAATCAGACGGTCCCATGGCAGCGTGGCTTGATCTTGTCAATGAAGACGGAGCCTGGACTTTGGTCGATACCGGTCGTCTGGAGGAGTTGGTGCAGGGAATGCCATCTCCGAAACGCCAATGTCCATCTTTGGTCTACTTCGCTGGGAACTCGAATCGTCTGAAGGCTCTGCGAGCGCTGAACCCCCACAATAATGTCACACGCAAAGGTCCCGCGGGCTGGATTCGTCTTCACCTGGGTGGGAGATCCGGTCATACTGAAAACCCTGTCCTTTTTGCCGAGAGTGGCCTGCTTCTCGAGAAAAGCCAGGGCGATTCACGATGGCGCAAACACCATTCGACTCAGCGACATCGGCGATACGCGATTCAAGATGACGATAGTTCTTGTTCACCGGCAAAATTACACCAAGAAGTGAAAGTTCAACTCGTTCTGCCATGGACCCAGATTCTGTGCCTCTTCATCGATTCCAAATCCGACTTGCAGTCTGCCCGAGACCTGCTGCAGCAGCCACGTCGACAGCTTGCGATTGGCGGCCAGCCTATCTCTACATTCATGCGAATAGTCATCGTCTTGACCAAGCAAGACAATTCGAATCATATACCAGCGCGTGACTTTGCCGATTTCGAAGCGTTTGCTGAGACTGGGGAGACCATCGTCCTGGATCTGCGTCCACGATGCGGCCTCTCCGATACGGTCGCATTCGGACCTCTTCGTACTGTCATCATGGAGCAGCTGTCCGCCATTCGGGATCAGCAAGCGTCCCCCGGAGGTCACATTTCAGCGTCTCATCTAGGCGCCTTCTGGAAATCGTTTATTCAAAGCTACAAGCGATGTCGAATCGCACCGCCCTTTGATCTCCTGACCGAAGCCCGGAGAGGTTATCCCGACGACGGAGCCATGGGTCGCTATCTTCGAGAAGGCGCTCAGATCGTCATATCGGCTGGCTGCGCCGAGGACGAGATGCAGGTCTTTGTGGCCTCGGCCATCCTCATGCATGCGTACCCCCCTGAAATGCACGGTAAGATCACAGTTCTCGTTTCAATGCTCATACTGACACGCGTAGGTTTCTCCCCGCCCATTGTCTTTGCTGCACTGTATGAGAAGCATTGTGCCGAAATTTCGAGTGAAGGTGCCACTCGCAGTCTCTGCGACGGTATCGGTTCGCATTTCAAACGGCTTTTCCTGCAACTGAGCGCCAACAACATCTCTGCCACGGCTCGAAAGGGTATCTTGCAGCGTTACTTTCGCCAATGGGGAGGCCTTTATTCCACCACGACCTGCATGGTATGCTTGTGTCGGCCGCCCGAACACATGATGCCGTGCAAACATGCACTCTGTGACGCCTGTGTCGTAATCTTTGGCAAGTCAAGTTCCCTCGGTGAGTATCATTGGGACCTCACTGAATGCCCCGTCTGTGAAGAGACTTTCCTCGCCCGTATACGCCAATTACCCCCTACGAAGCACCCGGTGGTCCTCAGTTTGGACGGCGGTGGCGTCCGCGGGCTGATCCAACTGGGCCTGCTGCGGGCGTTGGAGAAGCGCATTGGCTTGCCGATCGAGTCTCTGCCCGACTTGTGTCTCGGAACGAGTGTTGGTACGTTCCGCGCTTCCTCCTTTTCCACCACCACGCTAACAGTACTATGCGCAGGCGCGTTAACGGCCATTGATATTTTTTTGAACCACGCTTCGGTCGAGCAATGTGCGCGGGCATTCCCCGACCTAGCGCGAAAAATATTCCATGCTTCACGGGTCCCGGTGCCGCGATTCGTTCGATGGTTGGCTTCGGCTTTCAACGTGATCCCCAGTAGTTTGTATGACTCACAGAATTTAGCCCAGACCCTAAAAGAGGCAGTGCCCGCGGACCGTCGTATTTTTGACGTGACCACTGCCAGTCCTGCCGGATGTCGGGTGGCCGTCGTTGCGAGTCGCACATCTGACGGCAAGGCCTGCGTGCTTGCCAATTACCGAGGCACGGGCCATCGCCGTGCAGACGCCGCCTACGAATTTTTGACGCCCAGCCACGACCAAGAGAATCCATATCTGTGCGACATGTGAGTTGGCTTCTGCGAACAACTCTTGCGATTTGTGGGCCACAGTGCAGAGAGCTAACGTTTTTCTTTCACCAGAGCCGAATGCAGTGTCGCAGCGCCCTTGTAAGTGAAAGACCATCGATTCGGAACCAGCACGGCTAACACGCGGCAGCTATTTTCAGCCGAGACGGCTACCAGGCTTCGGCCCTTTCCAAGATGGTGGAGTACGCGCGAACAACCCGCTCGCCATTGCGTGGAGGGAATCGGGCGTCATCTGGCCGCGCGCGAAACGACATGATCTGCTTTTATCGGTTGGCACGGGATGTACCGCGCTTGATTCTGCGCAATGCCCGCAATATTCGACCTGGGACGGCGCGCTCCCTCGCTTGTTTCGCGCCACAATGTCATCGCCCTCGATGGACGGCCCCCAAGGGTTTCTGGAAGCCTTGAATTACTTACCGCATTGGTCGAAACCGGATGTACTTCGACTCGATCATGCCATCCCCGGTCCGCTACCCGAACTAGATGACACCAGCGCATTACACCAATTGTCCGAAATGGAGTATCTCATTCCAGTCGAGCTGGTGAGAACGGTGCTCGCATCCGCAATGTTTTTCTTCGAGTTTGACGCCACTCCTGTCCCGGGTCAGGTCGGATTTCACTGCGAAGGGTCCATCCTTTGCTCACGCCCGGGGGCTGGCGAAATCCTCGCGCGCGTCTTAGTTGAGATCCCTGGTGCGAAATTTCAGATTGGTCAGGATCATTCCTTGGGTGATGTAGACCCCAATGATCGCTGCACACCTTGCGGATATTACAGAAAACGCGTCGCCTTTCACGTTGCCAGTCTTGAAGAGCGCTTTACGATAAACATCGCCAATGGTGCCTGTTGTGAGAAGATTGGCGGATTTCCAAAGTGCGCACAGGAGTTTCTTGAAGCGCAGCAGGCCTTTGCTCACTTTGGCCGTGCAGACCATCAAACGCCACCCTGGCCGCCCGTGAGACACTGCTACTGTGCTTGTGAGGCAAAGAGGACCATTCGTTTCGTAGAGCCGACGGCACGACAGAAGCGAAGGCGGCTGTGATGTTGATGGCCCGGTCGATTGTGAGTCTCACAATTCTCGTTATATGCAATGGGGCGTTTAATCCTTCGGGTTTGGCTTACAGATCATACTATCGTGGCTGTCGCAAGAGAGAAAACAAAATAATGTGTGTTTTTTGTTGAAGTGATTTCTTGCGCTCCACGAGCACCGCTGGTAGTTAAAGAGAGACTAAGCTTCGTAGTATGTTGAGATCCACCATTACAGAGCCGACGTAAGACACGCTAGCTCAAATGTCAACGGCCCGATCCCAATTTGATATTTTTGTTTTAGTCTTCGACATACGCTCTCGCGCCTAGAGAGATCACTCCTGTCGATTTTTCTACACCATGAACGCCTTCCGCAAAGCCCTCTCCGTCCATTTTCGCGACAGTGCCACAAGCATCTACAGTCGGCCTGCTGACCCTGCACAAGATGCCGAGCTGATTGCAATGACACCGGTTGCTCCGCCACTCCAAACTTCTTTCCCGGAAATCAACTCACTCGATCACCAAATTGCCATGGCGGGAGGGTCTACGATGGCTGTGGAAGCGACGCGGCCCCGACTCAGGATGTCGAAAAGATCTCCCAAGACCACGCCTCGAGCACTGAAACAGCAATGGCTGCAACAACGAAACCAGCAAGAGCGAGAGAATGATTTTTACACCGATTGTTTCAAGAACTTCCATCGACTCGTCGCGACCGTGATGGACTCCACTCAGGATCTGGCGCTGCAGTACCAATTCAAGCCCGGAGCAAGTCCCGCTGGAGATCCCCGCCTGATCCGGACAATCGTATTGCTCCGAGCGGCTTTGGACAAATCACGCACGGAAGAAGCGCAGGCGGAAACCGAATGGAAACGACAGTGTGGGCTTTCGGATAAGAAAGTTGCGACGAGATGGCTATGAGGTGAAGGACCTACAATTTGTTTGCTGACTACTTCCATGGATCTGGGATACGCATTGTACATGGGACCACAGACGTGAATATTACATTTGGTGATTAGACACATACAAAGCTGCTGCCGCTCACACATTCACTGCAGCTTTCTCTGCGGAGACTACATCGCGCACTAGCCTGATCTGTGCTCTTCTCGTAAGCTAACCGATCGCCGGCCTTGACTTAGGAAAACTCGAGCTGTAGAAAATCTTGAATTTGGGACACCATGCGCTGCTCGATGTTTGCAAGCACCCTCTTCGTGGCCTCTGGCAGTAATTGTAATCGGCGTCCGAGCTGCTCAGGGTGAGCGTTGCACAACTGCACTTGGAACCTCACTTTATCTCTCAGCTGGGCTTGCAAACGATCTGAGACATGAAGTATTGTCTTGACGAAGCGATAAAGTCGACGAAGGCTTTGTGGGCTTCTTCCGCCGGCGATGCTTCCCACAAAGCCGATCGCGTGTCGGACCATTCGAAGCAAGATGTCTCGAGCTTGCGGAATACGGTGAACAGACGCGTGACGAACGTTGCTAATCACGCGATGCCATTTCTGAATCGACTGTGCTGGTGGACAATTTATTTGCGCTTCTATTCGCTCTGTGTGGTCGGCCAAGAACTCAAAAACCTTGTGCAACTCGATTGCCTCGACGCACGTCCAGCCTACGGCCTGAGATTCGGCCAAGAGCCATTTCTGAAGGAATTGAAAGATGTGGTCTTCGAGGTGGTACTGGATCGCTTTCAGAATAGCGTGTTGAGCTGGGAATGGAATCGAAGATTTGGAAGTTCTCAGTAGTGGTTCTCAATTCCTGTGTGTCTAGTCGCGAAGAGAGTCAGCCCTGATGTAAGTATCGCACATACGCACCTACCTGTCGACACTAAGGCCTGTTCCGACGGCATATTCTCAAGACAGTGGTGTTGATCTTTCTTCCGGAATTCGGCTGATCGATGAGAAGCAAAGAACGCATTTGAAGGGAATTGAACTCGCCAGATATACCTACGCGCACATGGTGTTTGCGTCGTACAAGCAGCCTCGCGCTTTTCTGCAGGTGACCAAAATTGAGACCATGTAGCCAGCCGGATTATGACATGGGCTTTTCAGCTGGGCGATCATGCTACCAACATTTTGCGGCAAGCCTCAAATATTTTGGAATGAGTTGCAGGGTATAAATCCAGCCGCAGAGTTTCTCAAGGTCATCAAATCAGACTGCGTGCATCTGCTACTATGGTCGCGTTCAGTATATTCGCAATGGGATTCTTTGTAGCATGCTCAGTTGCGTATACCCTGTTCTGCTTACTGGGCTTGGTTGTATGCTGATAAAGTATCAGATGTCTAGGCCCCTTTGGCCATCGACCTCTATTTCCAAGGAAAGCACTACGATTACGAAAGTAAGTCGTGTACGGGTATTCTATGCGCAATTGGGGTTTTTGGCTAAATGGTACAGATCACTCCCTCCCTTCTGGCTCACGATAGCGACCGAGACGGAGAAGAATATGGTCATCGCTTAGGTACTCATCACCTCTATACTCACATTCCATACATTTCTGATGTGAATTTAGTCCATTTTGATCCGAGTGCGAGCCACGGAAGAGCTCATCGACACCATCGGCGGCATTTGATGGACCCCAGTTAATCTTTGCGACGTCACTTCTGAACGCATGAGGACCATTGACTAGCTAGGAGGGACTGATTCATGTGAATTAAACCAAAGAACAAGATTATCAGAAACAGTAGAAATAGCAATAGAACTGAGATTTGAGAAAATGGCATTGTATTTCTAGCGAGACTGGATGCAGTTCAAACGGTGGTGTGCATGACAGCCGCGAAGATCAGCAAATATTGATTCTCCTATAGCGCGCTTCTGGTACTGCGTATTCCAAGTCGTTTCTTCTGGAGATGCTCCTCCAACGCTTTCCAAGCATCACTTGAATGAGCCGGAGAAGAGATCACGGGCAGCCTTGTCTCGGCAGGCTGGGCAGAAACCGCATAATCACGAGGTGTTTTGTTCACAGCGGTGCGTTTTTCCTTCAAACGTTAGTCTTCCAGCATTTCATTCTTTGGATCCTGGATTCTTACGATCATTTCTCGTGATGGTGGAGGAACGTGAGGATGCGAATGGTAGGTGAAGATCTGCCCATCTGGCTGTTCCATGATGAGCCATATTTTGATCCCATACAGCAGCCAGAATTCATTGTGCCGACGCAGTAGATTATTACGGCGTTTGCGAAGTTGCTCTCGCTTGACACGACTCAGAGGTTGAGCCATTGGTAGGTTGGATAGAGTATTTTGCAGATACTGTTGGCACCGGGCGTCGCTCTCTTTGTATGTAATGGGATGCACGCAGGAAAGACTGGCTCAACGGTCGCCTCAGGTTTGTGAAAGTTGCTTGACCGTATTCTGCGACCGCAGATATATAAGGTCGGCTGTATCCGAAGGGGCCCGTGGTACACCGGCATACTTGAGTCATTGGCAAAATTTCAAGCATCACTTTCTGAGATTTTCATGGTGTTGAGCTCACTTTTTTATAATATTAACGTGCTTGGAGTTCAGATCCGGAAGTTTGTGATACACGTCAAACCCTCCAATTCTGTACAGACAGCCTACTTCTTGAGATGCTTCCCATGCATGCCTGTCCTCACTCCACCAACCAAACCATGTGTGTCTATAACGTTTGTCCCCCGATATGTCCTTTGCCCAGATATGCTTGCTGATATGTGTACGAAGAGCTCCAGCATACAATGCTCTCGTATGAGAAGCTCTATCAGATACAATGAGTCCGCTGACACCCGCCAGCCGACAGTCGTCATTGTCGATATCACTCAAGAAGTCTCGTCACCTGGAGATGCATCGCAATTGACCCCCTGGCCTGTTTTTGAGCCGTATTCTACATCGATCAGAAAAGACTTTACGCTCTCGGATGTCAATCCACAGCTTCCATCTTCTTCGCTTGATTATTTCCAGAGCTTGACAGAGGTGGGCGCCCCAGTAGAAGACACTTCTGCAATGGCTTCACTGGAAGTTAAAATCACGAGTACGCCTCATGAGGCAAGCAGTGACTCTCGCGATGATGTTGCTAATATTTCGAGCCATGTCGCTGTAACGATGAGCTTTGCATCGTGGCCATTGGTTACTGTTAGCCAGGGCACCTCCTTTCCAGTCGAAACGGTAAATGCCAATGAAGAAGCCGCAGAGACCTTATCAACCCCAACATCTCGCGATACTCCCAGGCTTTCTCCGTTCTCCCTGGCTGACTCGGAGACCAAAAGCAGCGGAGTTTCCACCCACCACGAGGAGCCCATGGGAGCCAGGAACAGTGTGGGTGTCAATAACTCCACCACTCAACCTTTGCCATCGCCATCATACACAAGCGTCTCTCATGAGACTGGAAGTGGTAAAACATATATGACCGCTAAACCCAAAGGGCTGACGCTACTCAATACATACACGGAGACCGGGACTTGGACCCCGAGTTCATCAACCACTGCAAGAACTCCGGCCCCTGGAACGCATGGCGCCATCATGGATGGCACCGAGTTTTCAAGACGGATTTCCCAACGAGGTATGGCGTTGGTGCTTGGCAGTGTACTTGGAGGTTCTCTGGTCTTTGTCTGCATGCTTCTTTTGCACCGGCTCATTCTCCGGTCATTCCACAGAAGCGAGCAGGAATCACCAATGCATTGTCGGCCATCATCGATGACTGATCCGCGTATCAGGCAGAGCCCTGCAGTCCCTTGCAATATTGCTGGAATTTCACATTTCTCCGCTGACTCTGAAGATACGCGCTGTATTGACTATCAAAAGCCAGCCAAAAAGGCATGCATATCGCGTTGAACCGCTTGGGAATTTATTCTGGCTTTATCGCATGACTGCAAGTAGATCGAGAGCTATCATTTAGAGTATAAACCTGTCTATCTGATGATGTGGCCCCAAATTAAAACTTTTTCATTGAAGGCAGCTCTCTTGTCGCCTCATGAATATGGTATTGTACTTGTGGGATGATGTTCTGTGCACTTGGATCAGAAAACTGACTTTGTCCGATTTTTGCTGATCACATCATCAAGTCCGAATTGAACATTGCTTCCAAATGTAGGGTTTCAATGAAGCATATTTTGATCCGCTCCTCAAACTTCGACTCATTCATCTGATTCCGGGCCATGATATTTAAGAATCCCGTCCCTCGCTGCTCCACCGGCACCTGCACCCCTTATCTTCTATCTTCATCCCAAGGATCGAATTTGATTCTTTCAGAGAGGCCATGCCTGTCTCTGTAAATTTCAAGCCCGCTATGACACCTCACAGAAGAAATTCGCTTGATAGCCAAACTCCTCAGCCAGATGAGTTGCCCATCTGTATCCTAGTTGTCCTCTTCTTGCTCCTGTACAACAAGCCCGAGTCGCCTTTCAACACACCTGGAGATGATACAGAGCACTCACTTCTGCCCGGCCAAATGAAAACCAGCAGTTCCGCCCCTCACCACTTTCGCTCATCGAATCACCAGATGGCACGGCAGGATCTGCGGTGGAAACTGCTTGCCCGACAACAAGTCGCGAACTGGCAGAGAGACGCGGAAGACAAGGGCTTGATCTCACCAAATGAGAAACCAGCAGACATGGCCCCTATCTGGACGAGACTGCAAGGTTTGAAGAAGAAAAATGGGCCAAGATTGAAACGAGCGTGCCAGTTCCTTCACAGTGGCTCCCGTCAGCTTTCCCGTATGCTTCTGAGCGCGGATCCGCTCTTGCAGAAGCCGGGGACAGTCCCAAACACCAAGCCACAGATCGCATGCAAGATGCGAGCAATCTCGACGAAGCAAAAGAATTCTTGGGCGCAAAAAGATTCTTTGCCGATTTTTGCGCTTAGATGGCTTGCTGTGAAACTTTCCGAAAAGTCTACCGAGACAGCAACAGTAGACTTTTGGAGAGTGGCGACTCTGATAGCACAACACTGTGCTGCTTGATCACTTCCTGTTATTTTTCCGATGTGAATCTAGGGAGATTACATGCTTCACCACTCGGTTTGTACTCAATCTCCACTCGTAAATAGACAATCAAATCGATTTATGTGTAGTCACAGTACTCTGCAAGTTTCCAATGAGTCCTTGAAGATATACATTTCCATTACTTTTCAGTGAATTTGGATCGCTAAGTTTGAAATACTATGGCCGAGGATTTTGTTCAATCGGTGTGTGCGCTGCTTAGTTTGAGGCTATGGGGTCTGTACCAGCTGCCTCTCAAATGAGAGTGCATCACTGTGTCGACATCTGGGGAGATTTTCTTATGTCAAGGTGTCCTAAATATGTAAAGAATCACGGTTTTCATTTTCATTGCCCAAAATTTGGAAAGGATCAAAATCAAGACAACGTATGATTATTCCATTGCTCTACGCCTGTCAGAAAACCTCTGAAATGTCCCTACGCGCCGACATCCATGAACTGTGACGTCATTTCTGCTTTTTGTTTTTCCAACCAACTAATTGCCGCTTGCGTCAGGGTTTCCCCGCCGATTTGTTTTCTTTTCCTAGATGGGCCATTTGCACTGAATTGTGCATTGAATTCTGCATGAAGCTCCGAGGCAGGAAAGTCCATATAGTGGGAATAGACTCCTTCGACAATAACACGACCGGTCATCCCAGTGAGGACTTCGTCGCCAGTCCCAGGAGTGACGTCGAAAACGAAGACCTGGAAGTTGTGCTGCCGAAGCCCTTCGCAAAATTGGGTTATGAAGTGCTCATCGATTGGCAAATACACAGTCTGTCTGTTTTGCCCAATCGTGATGTGCATGGTATATCCAAGGCGCTGCAAGCTGTTTGCTGAGTCTGGAATCAAGGGAGCAAACGGATCAGCCATGGTAGTAGATGCACGCGTCGGCAGGTTGCGGGAAGCTTCTGCCGCTGTCTGGGCGGTCGGATGGTGTCCTTGGGCGATGGGTCCTTGGCCCGCGGGTCCTTCGGCGACGGTGGGATCGTCCAGTATCGCTTGGTCTGCATCATTACCGCGACGCACGGAAGTATCGCTCCCCTCATGGTCCATCAGATACCCAAAGAAAGCTCTGAAGACCCAACGGCGGAGGAACCCTGCCGATACTCGCGTCGCTGATTCAGGCTGCCGTAACGATTCGGCCGACAGGGCAAACCAATCTGCCTGCCGCGTATCGACAAAGGGCTTTCCGCATCTCTTGGCCGCATCCATCTCCTGCGAAGGATCCTCTGGGTAGTCGCAAGGTACCAAAGGCGGTAGCTCAATCACGGGCGACGATTGCGTCATGCTGCCGGGCGGTTGAAATCCCCGGGCTCTCAGGATACCACAGAAATGCCGCCACATGTCTGATCGGCGGAGCGGAAAAGCTTGATCCGTGTCTTGGTCCGGCGTATGCTCATTGCCAGGGCTCTTGAGACATTTTCGGCGCTGATGATCGGTCAACTCAAATCCATACTGGAAACTGAATCGCCAGAATTCCAGAACATCTGACCGCAGACGTTCCCTCCTCATCGACATCGAAATGGGCAAGGCAGTGTCGAAGATACTGTACACCCCTGTGTCAATGGTGAACTTCTCGTCCCGCGGTTGGATGAAAAGACGCTTCATGACACTTTGCGCGACTTCCAAGTAGAGGCGATCCTTGAAAAACGTCTTCAGCGTTGGAATTGGATAATCGATTCCTTTCAATCGCTCCCAGATGTCCTTTCGCTGTCCTTCCTCAAACTCTGCAAAGAGCTTTCCCTCGTCCATTTGGAGTTGCAGGAACTGTAGGTCATTTGTGGAGAGCTTTGGCGCACGAGCTTGTATCAAACCAACGGTACGCCCGTCTATCAGAGGTAGCAGATCAGTCCTTCCCCCGACCAGTGTCAGGAATGTCTGGAAGATCAGGTCCCAGTAGCAGATCATTGGCTACATGCGGCATCCAAGTTAGTCAGGATCTGCCCATTCATTTCAGGGTGACAGAATATCGACGCACCTCATCGCAGTGCATGGCGGTCACTTTATGTAGCAGTCCAATCCGCATGCCTTCCCAGAGTCCCCGGATGACCAGCAAGGAGTTCAACTTTCGATGGAGGGCCGCATTCTTGAAGAATCGCCGCAGATATCCACCTTTTTTGCTGCCCGCCACTGCCTGCAAAATGACCCACCAGTTGTTGGCAGCCAATCGGTCCTCGGGTCCATCCAGGTACCCTTCGTAGTAGTTGATTCGCTCGTAAATCAGCCCGTCGGGCGGTCGGTTGTCGTTCGGGTATCTTTCTTTTAAGGATTGAACGAACTTTCTCTGTAACACGTCTCTGTCAAGATCTTGACCCTCTAAGACGGTATCAGGTCAGCCGCATCGAAAAGAGCTCGTGGGGTAGACCTTGTGGTCAGTCAACGTACCTTCATCGTCAGTCACATAGACGTCCACAATCCACCACTGGTCTTCCGGATCGAGCTTCTTCCGGGCTGCTGCGATCAGATTCTCGTGATCCAACGCGTGCAGTCGGTAGTCCAGGTCTACATTCAAGCTCGGCATAATGCCATTGCCGTAGCGCGGACTCACACGACGCTCCCAGTCAGATCGGGGCACAACTACGGGCACATGGTTGTCTCCCATGAGCCGGCGACAGCCTTGAATTTTCAGGGTTTTCTCCAGGCGCTGGACATTGTCACGGTCATCCATCCATGCGCGAAACCCTTTTTCGAATGTCAGGTGGGAGAGGTGCACCCTGGCAGACAACTGGAAGTGACTTTGATGGTACGAGAACAACTTGCGCTCCAGATCTGCCAATTCTGACTGTCTTGTAGGGGCCATGATAGGCACACATTGTCTTTGCAAGATGCACTTGGAGGGAGCATCGCTGCGAGGCGACTTTATACCAGGTCCAGGACTTGTCACTGACATGAATAATTGAGGGATATCTCATTCCAGATGACTCAAATTATGCCTCGCCGGACTGTTGCTCCACAAAATTGTGTCTACTAATTGAGGTTAATAGGTCAGAGTAAGTGTCTAGCTTGAGAAGTGAGCACTTGAATCGCATCAGCTGTCGCAAGAAAATTGAACCGTCAAATAAATCAGCAAAGACACAAAATGAGGCCGCAAATTCACATTCACAAGACATCGGCTTCAGGACATCAACCGCCTCTTTCTCTGTTACTTAACATGAACGCCCACTGCACGATTTATTAAGCCTTGGAAAGTCTTCATTTCTCACACTTGCAGCTTTTCTACCCTACTAGTCTGCTTGCTTCAAATTCTCTTGTAGCCATCATGAAGCTCCCCGGGGGAAGCAGATTGGACCAGATTATCTCAGCCATCGCCTTATCTCTATCAGTGGTGGTCCTTGTCTGTCTGTCCATTGCCTTTGTCGGCTGCACTTCACCATCTGCGCCGAAAGGGCTGTACTTTATGAAAGTGAGATATTCTTGCACTCTAAATTGCATGGATCTTTGGCTAAACATGAAGTAGATCGATCTGTCCGAGTTTCCACGATTCGACCATCTGGTCACCCGCGATTCTCCCATCCTTCCCAATTTCCATCCGCCAGATATCAGCGAAGGAGCTGGCAACAGCTTCACCGACACGGCATCCAGCGTGTATGCTGGCGCGGCAGATGCATCCGCGGCGGCCACTTCAGCTGCTCAAGGAGCGATCCATGCTCAACTGACAGAGTTGAAATCACATCTGTTCCAGTACTACTACATTGGGCTCTGGGGCTACTGCAAGTCCCGCGATGGCTCCAAGGCCGTGTGCTCGGAGCCTCGCACATCCTTCGCCTTTGATCTGTCTGCCGTGCTGGACTCTACGCCCGTCGATGTCGACAAAGTGCTGCCAAAGGTGGATGCAAAGGCCATCTCGGGCTATCGAAAGCTTTCGCATGGCATTATCAGCCTTTACATCTCTGGGTTCGTCTCCACCGTCTTGGTCGTGATTCTTGGGGCTCGGAGGACCCTTCTGGCTCGGGGAAACAGACTCCTTGCGCTGTTTTGCATAGTAAGTGACACCGGAACAGCTTTCATGACGTTTCTCTGACATAACTAGGTTTCGGCATTGCTGATCGCTCTCGCCACGGTCGGAGTCACCGTGATGTACAGTCTTTTCACCGCGGGAATTAAGACAAGTTTGCACCCATTCGGGGTCCAGGCTGGCTTGGGTGGATCAATGCTCACGCTAATATGGCTAGCCACATCTTGTTCCGTTGGTGCGTTCTTCATATGGCTCATCCAGCCCTTTTGTTGCTGTATTTGATTATTATCCTGGTGTCGTCTCGTGGGTTGCGACCCAGGTAAGAGGGTTTCGACGCGTGCTGTGGCCCTTTGGTGTTTGCTCTCGCAGTTAATGGGTGTAATAGTTGTCGATGCTAAGCCTCTGATATTGCGTCTTAACTGATTTGGATCTGGAAGCGTTACTCATGATATTCAGGATTATCTGACAGGCGTAGCCTTTGGCCGTTCCACTAGTAACGAGGCAAGACAGAATCACAAATTGACAGAATCACAAGATAACTTGAATCGAACTTCCCAAACTACCCTCCGTCACTCTTGCTAGCTTCAGCCAGCCGAGCTCCGACTTGGTCTTTTTTATCTCTGATCGCATGTCTACCAAGCGCAGCTGCATTTGCATCGTTGTACAGTCGTCTGATAGGTTCCAACACTTCCCGAGCGGAGAAGATGCGGTCGACCGGGCACAGCTCTTCACACGTGGCTTGCGCTTCGCATGCCTGTTCAATCAAACTAGACACTTGGTTCTGGTATTGCCACAGGATTCGGTGCACGGCGTAGGCCGGAAGGTCACCATCCGAGGTGTAGATGCTTTTTAGCTCGTTGGACGTCTGCTCCGTGAGGTCTTGCACTAATTTGAACAGGGCATAGCAATCACGGTAGTATGCATTTCGTGCCCGCTGCCGACCAAGTTCTCGGACAATGTGCTCGATCCCGTTCATTTCTGTACGCGGCGGAATCTGGAAGCTTTTTTGGCACCGTGAGATAAGACCCCCTGCCACTGGCTCGAACTGTCAAAAATGATTGTTTTTTTCATGAGGACTGGCGAGGTGCGAAAGGGTCTGAAATACTCAAGATTGGTGATTTGAAACTCTTCAACTGATGATCAAGTAGCCTTAGCATATCACTCTGAATATCCGCTCGAGCGATGTAAAATCTCACCTTTCCCGTTTCAGGGGGGTTTGAACGGTGACCAAGTAGCCTCGGGGACCTCACTTAGTTGGCCCACTGAAGTGATGTTAAGATCCCAACTTTCCGTTTGGATATGTTTAACTGCGTGACAAAACGTGCAATAAGTCTCCCTTGAAGTCAGGATCACCATATGCTGCATTTCTTGTCTATAAATCCAGCGATGCACCAGTCACTCTGCACAGCAGACTTCCAACTTCAATCTTACACTCAAATCCAATGAATGCAATCCACCCCCAAGACCTGCCCGATCACGCGCTCGCTGCCGTCATCAGCGGGTTTGGCCTCTCTTACTTCTTATTTTATACGCTTCAGTTTCTTTTGTTCCACTTTCCTTCGGTCCAAGAGGATATTCCGATTGGCCTCGTCGTGATCACGTTCAGTGTGGGCGTCATGCTTTGGTACCTGGGTATCTTCCTCCATCAGATTTTTCGCGCCTCTGACGGAGGTTCCACTGCGAACCAGCTGAAGTTGCAGGCTGGAGCTCTATTCTTGACTTGTACAACGGTAGTCCCGGCCATTGTCTTCCTTTTCCCGAATCAGCCGTGGCTACAACTCGGATATACATCGGCTTTGGTGGTCATCGCCATTGGAAGCCTACCGCAAAAGCTCCTAAGTGATGTGAACAACCAAAAATGCCCAGATACATCTCTTGTTCAATTGGCATCGGTAATCATGTTGTCTTTGACGCCGATTATTCATGGCCTGGCTGAGCCAGTGACTGGCGCTTTGCCATTGGCAACTGCTTTTGGTCAGATGGTCATCATCGGTTCATTGTCTTTCGTGCTGTACTTTCTTCAACCACTGGAACGCATTGGCCTTGCCAAACTCTGGAAATTCAGTCTCCACGGGATGCACATGATGTTGACGTACAGCCTCGTGGCATATTCGAAGGCAGTGTTGCAGGCCGCAGTTGCTCGCATGTCGTGATCTTCGTGTTTGGGACCGACCTTCTCGAATGTCGGGCAGATCCTTGTAACAACTTCTGGATTCCCTGGACTTTGTTTGCGAGCTCAAAAATGATGGCCGCCGCGATATTGGGGAAGCTTCGTATGCTGTATCTACATTCAGTCTTTTTGATCATCAATTGAATTCAATCAGTCCTACTTTTTGGCTTATGTCACCAAATAGCAGAATGAGTATCAAGGATCTTCTCAGAAGATTAATGCGGTTGCGTCTTCAACATGTAGGTAGCGCGCTTTCATGAGTTATATCAAAACAGTAGGCATTTCTCCTTGCTCCTGTAGAGACAATTCTTCATATCTCATACAACGGTACTGATGGGCGTGCACAAGACTGCTGCACAGGAACTCTTTGGTGCCGAGACAGCAAGTCTACAGACTTCAGAAAAAGTATCCTCATCGCCCGCGTACGAAATCTCGTCTCAATTAATTTAATACTCTGCTCTTTTTGATCAACTTTTGTACTTGGTCTCAGCTCAAAATATGTGGCATTGGGATGTCAAAAAGTGTTTCCTTTCGACAACACTTTTCAGTTTCCGCTACGCCGCTACAGTCAGCAAGCTAAGCCCTGATTTTGTTTTCGGAGGCCGCAATTCATGTGCCATTGTTGCTTTACATTTTATGCTATTATGTAAAGACACATGGAGAAGCTAGAAAGCCTCATGAAAAATTGATGGCCAACTTCCTGGAGCTATAATGAATGGGACTCCGTGTGTCCATCTCTCAGCTACATAAAGGCTCTCGCGTGCTACAAGATTCGTCATCGTCCGCAACCGTGAGCATGATTTTCAAGCAAAATGTCCCAACTGTTTTGATAGCGGTGATTCTCCTCCTCAGTCTCATCAGGTTGCTTATTTTGTATCATTTTGGATCCAAGTGGTCCGCCTACAAGATCGAATACGCGGTGGGTACGACGTCCTGCATCCTTTTTGCTGTACTTTTAGGCCTCTTCTGGAGCGAACGATCTCCAGTGTGGAGTCAGGTACTGCTTTGGCTTTCGACGATACTTCCACCACTTCAGATAGTAGGTCTTGCACGACTCGTTGGCGATATGTTTTAAGCTAAGATGTCACAGTTCCTTCGAATAAACTCTCAACCGCGCCGACCTGAAGGGACACCACGAACGCTTCATATTATGGCCCGAGTGCTCGTCATACTCTCTACCGTGGCCACACTGGCAGTCGCACTTGTGGGAGCGTTCGTTGAAGAATGTGTTCACTCAGGCGGTCTTTTCATCCTCTGCGTGGACTATTTTGCAGCGGCGATGTGGTATTGGTGGCTCGAGACCGAAGGTCAGGCAAACTTCAGACGAGTCTCATATTGTTTAGCAGTTCTGACTCTGATATTACTGGTCATTGCGATTATCGGTATTCTGCGGGTATCGTGGATCATCGCACTTGAGGTAAATTCGCTGGTCCCTGCAGATGGCTGTAAAGCTGACAAGAGATAGACTCAGCTTATCACTATTTTCATCTGGGCAACACTCGAAAAATTAGTTGTGTGAGCGGCACGGCTTCATGGAACTTGTTTGTTGGAGATGTAGTTCCAATGGAGGTGGGCTTAGGAAAGAGTTTGATTAAGATAGGGGCTCATCGAGGTTGCGGGAAGACTTAGACCTCTATAAGAGATCTGCAGTTAGGTGGTCACAAATCTTTGTAAATCTACCATCTTCATAGTCTTCGAAAGTAAAAATCAAACCAGCTCAATTTTTTGTGTTATACTCTTCTTGAGTCAACCTTTGGATCTATTTGGAAATGCTGGAAACACGTGTAGAGGAGACATTCAGTATCAAGAGACTTTGTTTGTTGGAGAAGTATTTTGTTTATGATTTTCATACACATCTAGATATCCTTTCAATCATTCATTGATAAGACTACTACGATAAAAAGTCACTGCAAAAACATTACACATAGATTGCGGCAAAGGAGAAAAGAATATGTTCTTCGCTATTCCCGGCTGTAAATCCCATCATCTCTCCCATTTGTTCTCCTCTTGCCAGTGACTAGACGCGACGATGCGGTTTGGGGCGGAGTCTGCGCATCCAATCTGATCTCAGATCTTCCGGTGTGGGCGTCTCTTCTTTCGGTCGATCTTTCTTGATGGGACCCTTTCGGTCAATGTCCGGCCGTCCGACTAGGAGCGAAAATTGCTGCCCGCGGGCCTGGCTCCGAATCCGCATTCGAATAGTCATCTTTGCTGCGTCCCGGATCTTGATCCGTCGGGAAACACCCGAAGCATCTCGCCGGGGCCGAGGGGAAACCGTCCCGTCTGGAGAGTCGCAAGTCTCTCCCAGAAGAGTCACCCGTTCAGGATCGTTCCTGTCTTCTTGGTACTTAGACGAGCGAGTTCTTGGAGCCATTTCAAGGAGATTAAATGACTCTTGGATGTGATGGAGGCTCGGAGACTCTTTGACTGAAGAGGAAAAGGTTGGTAGGTGCAATGGACAGAATGCCATACTCCAATGATTTATATACTCCAGACTCAAGGCTAGGTGTTAGCTGAAAAGTAACTGCAGTCAGAAAATGGTCAGCCAAATTTGGTATTATCTGCTACAAATGCCATTCCGGATGAGCCGAATATCGAAAAAAGAAGGAGAAGATAATGATTCACGATAGATTTTTTTTGTGCTGGACTATGCCTCACTTTGGTAGTATTGGCAATGAAAGAATCTTGTTTTAGCCGCCGAGATTTCGGGATCGGCCTCACTTTTGAATCCTTCTCGAGAAATCAGTCTGGGGTTCGACAGGAAAGGGATGGCTTATGACGATCCAACAGAGTGTTAATTTTACGCATGCTTCGGGTTATTTGGGTCAGGAATACAAGCAAGCCCATCAGATTTTCAAGATCTCTGGCTACTGGAATTGTGTCGTTTGACGATGATTCATCCTCTTCTCTTACTTGCAGACAAGGCGTCCTCAGAGTCCACATGATCCGTGGAGTACACACTCTGTGTCGACATTTTCGGTCATATAAATATTCGCAATGTGTGCGGGACTCTTTGCTGCAAGTCAGTAATGACCTAGTCTCTGGAACCCAACCAGTACCACCCCAATCGAGGCAAGGGTTGGCAGAGCATCTTCCTTCTGGGACCATAGCCTCAGATCCCAGATGATGTCATAAATGGTTTTCGGAGCTTAAGGCCAGATCCTAGGACCATTTTAATTTCTTTTTGACATGTTATCTTCTTGCACCCATACATACTATGTTCTTAGCCACCTATTATCGTTGTGGTCATTTCTATAGGGTACTATCGGAATTCTAGGTGGAATTTATCGAACGAATGTAGAAAACAGCGGCCCTTCTGCGCATTCAAACTCGACATATCTGTACAAGAATGCAGTCAACTAGAGTTGAATATATGGACTGCTCTCTAACAACCTGGTGGATGTCCTTGCCAGCATATATAAACCACCATCCAGATCTTCATTTCACCTTTGTCCATCTTACAATACCTCATTTCTCAGATCTCATCCAATACATCCATCTTCACCACCACCATGTCGCCCGCTCCATTCAACCCTAGCTCTCCACTGGAGCAAAAATTCTCCAGGCCTGATGCGCTTCAAAAGTACCTCTGCACGTGCATGATGAATATCAACGAGATACATGGAAGACACACGCCCTTGATGCTTGCCGTGCAAGCAGGGGATCACGCAGCTGTCGATCTCCTGTTGAAGTATGGTGATCTTCGTACTTCTCAATGCAATGCCTACGGTCAGACTGCACTGTCGATGGCCATCACGCAGGGCAGTGTTTCAATCGTACGACAGCTGCTCCGCCGCAAAGATATCGAGTTCTACAGCCCCAATCGAAAGGTCCAGCAGCCACTCCTGGTGGCTTTAGAATGTCAACAGTATGAGATTTTGAAAATCCTCTTGCGTGATCGTCGGGCCAAAATCAACCAGAAGGATCACCGCGGCCAAACACTCCTGCATCTGGCCGTGATCTACGGAGACCTTCATGCTGTTGCAAGCCTTGCAAGAGAGGAGCTGATTGATGTCGATTGTCCCGATCATCTGGGAGAGACGCCCCTCATGTTGGCTGCGAAGCTCCATGCCTGCGATCAGCCCAACAACGTCAAGATCCACAAGTGTCTGCTCTCGCGGTCCAAAGTCAGGGTCGATCGAGATCAAGGGGTCAATCCAATCTTTCGCATGCCGTGAAGTCTTTCAATACCGAGCTGATCGAGTTACTCGGCTTCGTTTGAACAAACAATGTAAGGTGTCGATGGAATCTCTCCGTTGGGTCGAGTGAGGAGGCAATTTTCGACCGTCAAAACTCGGTTCCTTCAACCCGCGTACCACGATGCAAGTCACCATCCCTGCTCCAAACATGTGCGAAGGGCAATTATGCGATAGAGATTTAGGTCAGGCAGGCCATGACACATTAGCATTTGAGAATGTTCTTGAGATGTAACTTTATTCTCAACTATCGGGTGTCTTATCTATGCGCTTCCAGAGAACATATTATGGGCAGCATTTGTACACTAGCTCGCTATGAATATCAATTTTAGAAAAAGACAAGTTTCTAGAGCTAGTTTGTAAGTCCGGTCAAGGATGAAGTTCCATGGCTCCTGGTCCAGGATGTTACATCGACAGTGGGTCTTGCGCCACATGGCAATTCTAGAAAGTGATCGACGCCTTCCTTGAGAACAGACTGGCGCCTGATTGGTCAGGTGTGTTGGGGTGAGTCATGGTGGACTGCGGGAACCTCACCAATCAAGGTTGTTAGAAATAGGAGCGCAGCGGGTCCGTGGCCGGTAAGTTCGAGCGGTAGGAGCAAGGCCCGCCAAAGCCTTGCCCGCGTACTTACCAGGGTACTTACAAAGTACTCCTGAACTCTCGGGTTTGTCCCTGCCACGCGCGTCGGTTACAGAGATGAGCAAGACGATACTTTGTGGTATTCGTAGCAATTGATTGACCTTATCAGAAGTTTCCCTTCTCATCAGGAGTTTACCAATGGCCAAAGCATTGTCAGGAAGAAAGTGCATATGAGAGGTGGAAAGTGGGACGGCGAGATCGAAATGATCGGCCGGCACCTTAAACCTTAAACAGCACGTGGGTTGGTCTAAGGTCCAGTCCTTCGTGCATCTTGCTGAATACCATTGTTTGGTTTCTCAAAGTCTGACGAAAACAAGGGCAACGTGCGCTGCAGAAGTTCTTGATCGATGTGCGACACTAATGGCAAGAGTACCCATGATTGCACTTGCATGGCCATTGCGTTTAGCCCTCTTTGAATGCTGTATTGTAATACATCTGTCGCAACTTGTAATGTAACGCAATTTCATTGCCACAGCGATCGTATCCATGGAATCCATTGCATCAATTCTGGTACCCAGTCGCCAATGTAACCCATCGCGAGAAATGAACAGTCTATATGATCGGTGTGATGGAACCAAGGGCTAATTACCCCTGGCAACATGAGGCCAACCACGGATCCATGGGGGGGTGTCTCCTGGTCAAAGATTTCCATGTAACTTTTCCAATGCCCTCCCAAATCAGGGGCCGCTTCTATGAATTTGCGCAGGGGGTTTCTGTGAAGAGACGTAGCCGACTTGACATAAAAGGCGCGAGATTTCCGGGCCAAAACAAATCAGGACTTTCCTCCTCACACTCCCGTGTGTCATGGTTTCCATCTCTTGTCCAGGCTTGGGGGTCTCCGTGGCCAAAGGTCCGCAGTGCGAACTCTGCGTTAACAAAAGTGCTCCCTCGCTGCCACGAGCCCCGCGAGTGTAAGAAGGTGCTTCGCAGTGCGAACTCTGCGTTAACAAAAGTGCTCCCTCGCTGCCACGAGCCCCGCGAGTGTAAGAAGGTGCTCCGCAGGGGAAAGCTGCGAAATCAAGGAACTCTAGCCAAGTGCAGGCACCTCTACGTGGTGCTAGGGATTAGTATTCAACTCTCGCTATGCAGTTGAAGAAGCCAAGACCTGCCCAAACATGAATACTTCACCAGTGTAGGCTCAGGCCACAGGCGAATAGACTGGCAGTAGGGCCATGAGGGCGCATTCCAGGGCCCATTTTCGCTCCAAAATAGCATTGCAAAGAGAATGAATAAACCCTGGGATTTTCTATTACCAGATTTGCAGTGCATCGTAGTATCATGTGCAGAATCCGATCTCACGAGACGTTTACACACGTAGAGCATGTATACACACACGTCCAGGCCGGTCGGCTCGGTCAAAGCACGGCAAGAACGCATTGTTCACGTCTGTCTCAGAACTCAGGATATTCAAGATGAATGGTGAGGTTGGCGTTAGTGGTGAAGGGTGAATGCAGTGATCCATACTCCACGGTGGCAATCAGTCTATCATGGTGATAGCTGACTGAGTGTTGTGAATCGTTGAGGGTGCTTAAACAGTTGAGGGTGCTCAAACAGTTGAGGGTGCCTAAACAGTTGAGGGTGCCTAAACAGTTGAGGGTGCCTAAACAGTTGAGGATGCCTAAACAGTCGA